TGACCAGTATGCTTTTATTTGTTTGATTGATTCGAATAACCAGATTCAATCTGATTTTAAATTTTCGGAAATAGAAATACACTACTAGAATAAAGTACTAGAAATAGTGACAAAGGGTTGATGACAACTGTATTCGTTAAAAAAAACTCTAATGTTAAATAAGCAAAACTCAGCACTCAATTGATATATGACACTTCCAAAAATCAATGAGTAATACGTAATGGGTTCGAAAACACCAAACTTGATTTTGGTTACAGATAAATGAATTTAAATTGCCTAGGCACATTACCCCTATTGATTAAACATAAATAATTTCCTATAAACACATAGGTTAGTGAACTTTCCTAGGTGTAATTAAAAGCATGTGGTAGTAACTTAAAACAAAAATCATTTCTTAAACTATTCACATACATTCTTTACATTTATATATCTATCCACGTACATTGATTCAAAGTACATAAGTTTCTTAAATCATATGACCAATCCATAGGCTAAATACCATATGAATTATGGTATACATATGCGACTGTACTATAGTACTTAAAATTACCATTAAAATTCCGAAATTTTTTTGTGTTTATCACCTGTTTCCAAAATTAGTTTTTAAAAATAACACCATAGCTACTCTGATTGAATATTTAGGACCTATGTAAGCAGACTAATAATAGTGCATAACATAAAGCTAATTAATTAATTAATTAGTTCCAAATGAAATCAATCTTAAGAACCAACGTAAATTGTTTCCAGTTAGAGAAAAGGTTAAAAGATCTCTAAGAGTACTTTCCATTAAAAATGAATATCAATCCAAGAAGCCATTAAAAATGAGAAAACAGTAAATATTTATTACTTACCTATTCACCTGATACTTGGATATATACTAATGATGCTACATGACTGTCCAAACTGAAATAGTTGAATCCGAGTTCACACTTGAGACTTGATGGCCGAATATACATAGTTATACGAAAAATTCATTAAATCAATGGAATGTATAAACATGTCAATGAAATAACTTTTTTCTTACTCTAAATGTTACTTTTGCCTTCATAAACATTCATGTAAGGCAAAAGCGATTTTTTAAATGACCAAATTAAGTTCATATGTCCGAACATTGCTCTACCTCATATGTACGTAAAATAACTACTTTTTAAGTGTATAGCTGGTGTCAAATCATAATGATCATTTCTTTCAAAGTGAATAAAATCTCCATACAACCACCATAATTGCATAATTTACGGATAGAAAACCTTGTGATATTTGGCTGCATTGACTACAACGGTCGGCACAAAACTCTGAACTTAGGTTTCTTCCTAGTTGATACTCATCTGAAGCGCTTACCAGCAATTCTGAGGGAACTGACGCTGTTTATCGGATTCGAACGCAGGCCACCTACTTGACTGAGCTATTTGGACTGCGAGTGACCTGCTACTAGACTGAGCTATTTAAAATAATTTATCACTGCGTAATAATCAATGTATATATCTGGTCCCTAGTTACAGAATTGTATCGACCAAGCAATACTGATCTGCTAGATTAATAAATACACGCATCTATGCATAAATGTATCGCTGTGAAAAACAAAATCAATCAAAGTAAACTTTTTTTGAATAAACTTTTACATTCTAGATGCTATATTTATTCTTAGAAAAAAAAATTTATAAAACATGTCATATGACGTTTTTAAAAATGTGTTCTGTATATTGTAGGACTTCCTTCTTGCTTCTAACACAAGAAAACTTAATATACTTCTAGCAATGCATACGTAAGTGAAGAAATAATTTTAGAACTATTATGGTTGCCATAAGACCAACAACACCAGTTCATAAATCATTAGAGACAGAAACTAATAAATCAATGTTTTATTTTAACTGTAGGACGTCTTAATTCTAACTAAATCACATTGACACTTCTCTTTTCATCCCATACACAAGAAAACTTAATTTACTTACTCACTTACGCCTACTACTCCACGTGGAGGAGCATAGACCGCCCACTAGTACTCTCCATCCAACCCTGTCCGCCTGTAGTCCTTCTAAAGTTACTACCGGTCCCACGAGGGGTAAAGGAGGAGGGTTGAGCATAGGGTCGGCAACCCCATCCTGTCGAAAAAACAATTTGCTAAAAAAAACCCAACCAGAAAACTTAATTCAATATACTTATATTTAACTACCTATTGCCAATGTTTTACTAAGGTTCAATTGACTGAAGCAGTTATAAGTCCTCATACAATATATATATATATATATATATATATATATATATATAAGGTTATCCAGTTTGGTAACTTTATAAATTATTAATAATTGAACATTAATGCTCATATAGGTATCATCACCGAGGTTTGACTTGATAATTTCGAATAAATTGAGCATTGAGTATATTGTTATAAATAAATTAATATATTTGTAATATCCCAATGAGCCGAAAAATTAGATTTTCTGACGTTTCGTGACTCAGTGTAAGCCATTTCTTTAGAGACTAGTGCTCATATATTCCAAGTTAGTTGAACATTTAATCTTTCCAAAACTAAACATTGATATTGGATGTAGATTCTCGCATATTTTGGATAGTAAACCAATGTGCTTTTAGGCTTAAACGAGTTAGTTGTGACAAAATACTACTTCTGACAGGTAGTGCTGCTATGTCCAAAAAAGGATGTGCTAGCATATCCATAACGAAATTCCATCTCCTCAGTACTTCCGCGTGAACTGTAATACTCAATCAAGTACTTATGACCTTTCTGTTATTAACTAACTAATATCGCCTGGTAATCGAAATTTTGTGTTATTCTACATTACCGAAGCCAAATTCACCTCGTGATTTTCTGTATTTTTTACAGAGCTGTGTCCCAGCACCGAATATTAGTAATGCAAATCTACGATATTATCCAAGACCTTCAATTTTCACAGGTCCTCACTCAGGACAGTAATAGTCATTTGTTTTTTCTTGAAATCCATCGAATAATGCAGCCAGATCAGTTCTACTGAAAGAAACGAACGAGTAACATACATTTATTTACCTACCAAATGACCAGTTCTGCCGTCGCATTATATACGAGGCGATCAAACATTTCTAATGAAGAACTATAGATAGCATGTCAAGCGGATAAAACAAACAAGGTGTCTTGAAGTTATGTTCGCTGTTAATCCAATTAAAAGTTCATGGCTACGGTGAAGAAGTCGAACACTTCACTTATCTTGGGAGTCTAATCAGTCTGGTGTCTGACGACATCTGCATGTATTCAGAAAGCTAGTTTATTTTTTGCCAACTTACGTCACTCATGGCGAAGACGAGGTATCCGCCCATCAACTAGACGAGTAGTATACTGAGAAAAAGTTCGTTGTTTTACTTTACGGCTGTAAAACGTCACAATTAAGGGTAGCGGATACTCGTAAGTTAGTAGTATTTGACCACAAATTTCTTAGGAATATTGCCAGCATCTGCTGGGATCACCGGGTGGGCAATAGTGAGGTCAGACGCAGAGTATTAAATGATGAAGGTAAATCAGCTGAAGAGGTTGTGGATTTACATTGACTGGTATGTTTGGGCTACGTATTACGCATGCCCAACCATCGACTAACACAGCTCGCAATGCAAACTAGTGTTGCAGGATGGAAGTTAGGGGTGGCCAAACCAAAACGTGGGACCAATCTATAAAGTTACTAACTTCTGGTCTGTGCAATGTTGTTAGATGCAGACTACCTGGTTGGGGTCTGCGTGATCATCGTAACCAATCGTTGGAGACTCTGGGTAACAGCTGAAAATCGATCACGACGATGGGTGTACACGCCCTCTGTCACACCTTAAACCGCGAGATTAAGATTACTTCATACCTATCTTTCTACGAACAATTCCTTCTCCTGATATCTTATACGCAATCCTTTTTCCTTACATATCACCATCACTGAAGTAACTGCTTCAATGAATTTGGTGTTAATTTCATTGTGCTAATGGGGTATGACAACTTGGACCGCTGCATACATGCACCAGGTCCCATGTTGTACATGACTATCAGTTTGGGGATTTATTTTAATTCCATATCTCTAAACAAAATGAAACCTAGTCAATGGAGGATCACATAAGCAGCAGGATGTAGTAGCGTCTTCAAAGAATTTATTACAAAATAAGCTCCCCTAAAAGAACTTCAGATCGCCGTACTTCTTACCAGTTTATACAAGCTTTTAAATTGTATCGCTGAGTGCTTACTACTGCTTTAGAAAGAATCACTAGCAGTGTAACTAATAATCCAATATTCTAAACATAGTAAGACAGCCCAGTCCACAACAAACGACTGTGTTCGAAGGAGATTGCTCATCTCATAACTTAGTTCATTTGGCACGATAAAGGCAGAAATATCGATGTTAGTATAAGGGTTATTTGGAATCAGTCATTTACTTAAAATGCATAAGGACACTATGACTAATTAGTTGCAAAATTGACACAAGCAGAAAGTCAATCTAACTACAAATACCTCTTAAGATCTCCAAAACCATCTACGATGAGCAAGGCGCACACATACGAAAACGAACATTAATTCAACGTTCCAACCACCAAAAAATCGTTCGGATTCAAAATACAGTGGTCCCCTATGAATATGTATTCCCAATAATTGAAGACTTGATGAATTTCGATAACTGATGCCTAAAACATAGATTGAAAACATTTAAATCTTTATCACTTGTTATATTACAACAAACTTTATGCTATGATAATGGATAGTGTACCAAACCTATGTAGACCTGTTTTAACATGAACATGACACGTAAGCCACCAATGATATTTTTTGACGAGCAAACTATAATTATTTTCTTTAGAATAAATTATTCAAGTGAAATACATGTTCATTAGTATTGACATAACATAAAAGATAATAAACAGAATTCTGCTTTGTGTAAGCAGTCGCATATAATAATGTTATTGTTAAGGCATCTTCATAAAAGGTTAGAAGACAAACGGAGTCGTCAAGAAAAAGAACCCATAAGGTGATAATGTTTAGCCTTTTATTCCAGTTCACTAAGCATTTCTCGCCGCTTATCTCTGTACATACCAAGTTTTTGTGTACGACTTTTTGACGCCATTACATTGGTTAATCGTTTTTGTTCTTTGAGGACCCGATGGTTGGCTCCATTTCGCTGTGGTAACGACGGTAAACCAAGATCAAAAAGATTACGAATGTACGGATTTTCACGAAGATGATGCCTCAATCCACTTCCTAGCACTGAGCACAAGAAGTTATAATAAAAGTGTCCAGCGCAAGATGATAACGTTAAAACTTCAGCGCCAAAGTTTATCGATGTTTCAGGGTAGTCACAGTGCACTACGGCCTCCACGAGTTCCCGAAAAGAATGACGTTGTTTCTTGAGATCACTTTTAGAGCGGTTTTTTGAGCTATCTTTAGCCAACTCACCAAGTAGACGGACAAGATCGCTGTAATAAGGACCTTTGAATTTATCATCAACTTCGTTTCGAATTCGTTCATAAATGACTGCTGAAGCTTCACCTGCTATTATACGAACATTCACATTTGAACATTGAAGTAAAGAGAGTAAAACAGGAAGCACGGCTTTTCCAACATTACCAGAGTCGTATGGTGATAGAAAAGTATATATTAATGTCCAGGCTTTAAGTGCTGCAACATAAAGATCAAAAATATCAGCTTCAATCTTCGAAGCAGAGCTTTTGAATACAAATTCAAATGATTTTATAACATTTAATGGTGAGATAAAGTCACAATAGCCTGACAAAGACTGCAGTACTGAAAGAGCTATAGCTGAAGACGCTCTGAATTTAGGATTTTTGGTGGAATCACGAATGACAGGTTCTAAAATAGGAAAGAACCTTTCGAACCATATGGGAACTTCATGTGGATCAATTTGTAGAGAGAATATGGTCAGTAAATCTGCAGCTAGTGCCTGATCCTGTGGTTTACTCTTCTTGAAAATATTTTCAATGCTGGTTATCAGAGTTTCAGTGTAGTTCCAAGAGCCATCCAAACAGAAATAATGTGAACGAAAAAACTCAATTAATGAACGTATTGCGTTAATTCGAGTTTCCGTTCTCTTCTCTTCCATTAGATCGATTGCTGAGCAAACTTTATCAAGAAGCGATTCCAAGGCCAATCCATCTTCAACCTAAAACAATGAAAAAGTGGTTAACGGGAATTCATATTACTGACAAGTGGAAAACTAAGTCAAGATATGAATGTTATTTATCAAGTGCATGTTTAAGCATAAGGTATTAGGGCATGACTTGGATTTAGGCTACTGGTATTACTCGCCTGTTTAAACCGAAGCCAGTTGTATTTAAATAAGAGACTTATTGGAGGATACCACTTAGTTGTTCAAACTAAAATACGGAATTTTGAACATATGATGACAACAATAAAAACACTATTTTGACTAATTCGCTTTAGACCTAGTTGATTTGCTGTGTACCGATATAAAACGAAGTAACGCATTACATTGAGTAATCATGATATTCCCAACACTATCCGTGAAGTGTTAGTAACTAAGCATAAATTGTCTGATTGCTTCACCAGTGCGTGTACAACCCTATATATCACTCCAGAGATGAGTTCGGTTTCCGGTAGTTATTCACATGAAAAAGATGTACCAAAACCATTTCACATATAATCTATTATAGATTATAGCATACTACGACAATCACCATGGAAAGGATAGAAATATTTCCGCAAACTCGAAGCGCCTTAGAAGTTAAGCAGTACTATTTATTTGTATATACTGGCATCACTTGTCAACATAAAAGGGCTGTATTATACTTCAAGTCAGAATCTACACTTAAATGTTTCACTGAATAATCCAAAAAATTAGAAAGTTGAAGGGAAAATGTCACGATCAAGAAAGCTTGATAAAATTGAATGAGAATGGACACTTAACAACCATGACAAACAAATTAGATAAACGCCCCAGTTACAATCAACTTATGATGAAATGAGCACAACTGAACTGAATCAGTTTATTGTGAGAACAGTACTTTTAATTTATAGTGGAGAAGAAATATACATATTTTACAAATTATTGAAATAAACCATAACAATTGGCAATTATAACATACATTCTTCACTAGACATGGAACTTATGGACAGAATTTGGCAGTTTCTCCCACACAAATAAAAGACAGGTATTATTTCAATGCTCAATTTAATTTAGTGACGTATGACTGGATCACCATCGATAAACACACGAAACAAACCAATACCAGCTGTTACATTTGTGAAAATCACTCCATTTTATTTTAAAAACCTGAAGACTTCTTTTTTGCTTGGACAGCTAAAACCTTCTAGAGATTGACGAGAAACTATTGATTTGGAAGACTTCGCGATACCTAGTGCATAGACAGACGGGTTATAAGTAGCTGCCCAACATCAAAATAATGAACTTGTTTGCCTGGTACTGCTTGGTCGTCAACCATATGTCTAGATACTAACCACCTCAAATGGTCTACGTTGATGTCTGCCCAAACATTAAAAGATGAGACAGGGATGGAATATAAAACCCAATAGTCGGCAATAAAGAACCCTGACCAATCCGCCATGTCCTAGATATCTATTGCCAAGTGGCAATTTGAATGAACGATTTGAGAATATTCCAAACTACTAAGTCCAATCATGGTGTCTCAGCCTTTTTAATGTATGAATTTCATAAGAGTTGAAGATTTTATTACCCTTGAAGGTTTACCTATGGGATGTTTATCATGACTTATTTTCATTCATTTGAACACATATATCGGTACGAGGGGGCACCAGATACATGTGCGCCACACAATTCTCATTTGATTTTTGTGTGAGGGCTGTGATACTGCCCGGGTGCCCAAACCAAGGGCATATCAGGGACCTTCGGCCTAAAGGTCTGATCCACAAGGCAGTGGAACTACGTCAGGAGATGCAGTCCCATAGTAGCCGGCCACCAACGATTCGCTTATACGCCATTCGTTCTCTCGGGATACTGAATCCCATGTGCACCATTGGATGGAAATCAAGGTTTTCCAACTCCCCGCGTCCACCAATCTGGTTATACCGCCGGACATTCGCTTTTCGGCCTCTTCATTTTGTGAACAACACTCCCGCCACGAGAAGGCAGTGAGGACTTCCCTGACAGAGGCTGTATATACGTGGCCATGTGAGAAAATTCCGAGAGAGCAGACTCTCCCCACTCCCTGCCGTACTAGGGCATTTGAGGAATGTTTAACTGGAAAAGCACGCGCAACTTTGATAACCCTAGGTATTAGTAGACGATGTGAGACTACACTTGGAACAAAGGATGTTTCTGCTTTAAACAGCATGAATATACCAAATCAAGGCGTGACAAAGGACAAATGATAATCTTATTTGTTTATTAAGTAGGTAAACCCCTCGAACTGCTCACATCCTTACTGCAATAAGAGAGATGACCTAGTATTGACTTATCGTCCGCTGAACAACAATTAAGGTACTGATAGATCTTCAAGATAATCAGAATTCATCCCAAGATTGCAGAATTTAAGTAAAAAACTGACACGATTCACAGTGCAATCATGGTTGGTTTGCTTGTCGTACATTCAGCCTTCAATAATATCAAGGAATAATAACCACATCAACAAACACTGATGCCGAGGTCTAGATCCCGAACACAGTAATTTTGAAACTTTATGAGGATGCAAAATTAGAATGTAAATAATTAAAGCCCGAAAGTAGGAGTTTCATAACACTTACATCAATCGATGAGGCAGTTGGAGTCTCACTGCCGTCACTAGGAAGGCTAACAACACTAGCCAACTCCAATGAATCTGACTGGTCGACCAGAACTAAAGTTAAATATCATGACAAGAAGGGCCTGCATATACCTTTTTTCTCTTTAACTTTTTTCTTTGGCATTTCCTGTTAGATAGTTATCCCTTTTCGATTGGAATACGAAATTGATATCAACCTCCGAAGGACGAACACAAAGTCACTCATAACGCACTTCCACCGCATTTATGCAACCCGCGAATTCCCAGCGACAAAGCGTAAAAACAATGGAAGAGATATATACACTAAAGTCGATTCTGAGTGGGATCAACTCATCTATTAGTCCGTCGAAGATGAAACAAAGTGGTTTACGTGTTCGATTCTCACTGAAAATAACACACCAAACTGCTCTGAAGTTTAGCTAGTAGTTAACTTTTGTACGTTTTTGGAGATCTAGACCTCCTTCATGCCGTGCGAATCGTGATGAATATGTTCTATTGTAGTGAACGAATGCTTTCTGTAAGACATATACTGCTCTATGCCCTTCAGATACAACAGAGCGGCAGTGAATCGTATTCCTGAGGCCATGACTTACTACTACCCCTTGATCATTGAGACAAGTCTAAAGGCCCTGAACCCTTCCTTGTTTCTTATATATCGTTACTCACATATTCAATGCTCATGTAGATATACTTGACGGCAGTGATAGGCAATAACCACAATTTATACCAGCTTACTGGAACGTCTAGGTTATCATGTGCTGCAAGTGCATCATTCTTGACTTCTACCCAGATTTTTGTGTCATAACCTCATGGCAAAGCACGAATTAACAGTACTTGCTCACGTGTAACATTTTGTTGTACGTATTTCTGAATCGGTATTTCTTAGTTTTGTGGAGAAATTTGGTAATTTTGTTGGTTCCCGTGCATTTCGAACAGTTTTAGATCATATTTTATGGTTGATGATGTCACAGGTATTCAGTGTTTGACAACGCTTCTACCAGTAACACCTTCTAATATATTTCGTTCCCACCCAGAGAAATCAAAAGACAGAGTCGAGGAGATCGGAAGAGTGTATTTGGCGATTACCAATATATCGGAATTCTCTGATCTAATCTGGCTAGCGATTGCGGTTGATGTTGAGCACGGCGTTACCACACGTGATCTGGTGCGGATGCCTGACCGAGCGCCTTCAGCTAGATGAGTCCACTAAAACATATGGTCAGCATCCAATGTCGAAAACTTACAGGGCTATTTATTTTGGGGATTCATTTACCGCTACAGATCACTCCCTCCCTAGTGGGGCAGTGACGACCCTAAGACGTGGCCAGCCAGAAGTTTAAACCCAACGAGTTTGTCGTTGGTAAACACTCTTCTGATAGCTTACTAAGTGTAGCAGCGTCTGGTCGTCTTTCCTTACTATATGGGACCGAGGTACAACATAGTAAAAAAAGAAAAAGTTACAACGAAAATTTCGACTCCTCGTAAACGTCATAGTTCTCTTTCAGTCGTCCTGTAAAAGAAAAAAGAAAGTGTAAGTGTATGTCAAAATACACTTGTATGTGCGTAAAAACACAATGTCGGCGAAAAAATGGAAAATAAACTCAAGCACACGTAATAGCGTTGAAAAAATATTTCTGTTGTTTCTTTTAAATAAAAATATAAATGTATAGGCATATTAAAATTGTTTTGTTTTTTAATATTATATATCGTAAAAAGAAAAATCGAGATAATATAAAATGTCGAGTAGTGCTTTACGTGCAATAGTCGTTTAAATGTTCTGAAAATCTTACTCTTCTTCCAGAACGCGTCGTTTTAGGTTTATTTTCAGATACATTCGGAGTATCATCGCTAGTGTTGGTTGTCGGTTGAGGAACTATGAGTGTAGGAGTCGTGTTGTGCGATTGTACCGAAGGAAAGTCGACGTGAATAGGATTTTCTTCTAAATACGCTGCTTTTAAGCGATCGATGCTGATGCTAACGTTTGTTCCGTTCTTATCGACTATGTAGTACTTAGATTCACGTTGAAGAACTTTGAATGGTCCTTCGTATGCTGATTCGAATGGTCGTTGATGCGAGTCTCGACGAACGAAAACGTGTGTACTATATCGTAAGTCAGGTTGAACGAAAACATCGGTTGATTGTGGTCGAGTGGAAGCACGTTTAACTGAACGCATTGCGTTTGTAAGCCTGTTCGTGTAGGAGGTTAGATCCATGTTCATTGAAGAGGATGAAGGATCCACGAATTCTCCTGGAAGTCGAAGTGTCGTTCCATAAACGAGTTGAGCCGCAGTGTATCCAATGTCAGCTTTCACTGCATTGCGGATACCTAGTAAGACGAGTGGGAGAGCGCCGGTCCACTGTGAAACGTTTGCAGCTGATAGTGAAGCTTTTAGTTGTCGGTGAAAACGTTCTACCAACCCGTTTGCTTGTGGATGGTAGGCGGTCGTTCGGAAGCGAGTGCTTCCTAATAGTGCGGTCAGACGACGGAAAAGATCGGATTCAAACTGACGTCCGCGGTCTGTGGTGATGGTTGAAGGGCAACCGAAGTTTGCTATCCATCGTTCGACGAAGGTGCGGGCCACTGTTTCAGCTGTGATGTCCTTGATAGGTACTGCTTCTGGCCATCGAGTGGAACGGTCTACGCAGGTTAAGAGACAAGAGTATCCATTTGAATCTGGTAAAGGTCCTACCAAATCCAGATGAACATGGTCGAAACGAGCATCGGGAGTTTTAAATGAGCCTAAGGGACATTTATTGTGTCTGATAACCTTAGATTTTTAGCAGCTTACACAGGAGCGTGCCCACTCCCTCACGTCTTTATTCATGCCAGGCCAGCAAAACCGTTCTGCTATAAGCTTGATGGTTGCACGAACATCTGGATGAGAAAGTTTGTGCAATGTATTGAAGACATTGCGTCGATGATGTTTCGGCACGATTGGGCGATCCCTACCTGTAGATGTGTCACAAAGTAAAGTTTCCCTACCTGTTCCCATCTGTATGGTGCGGAGTTTAAGGGTTGTGGACGATAACTCGTGCTGAAGATCAGTGTCTTCTTTTTGAAGCTGGGCGAGTTTAAGAAGGTCGATTCTTTGGAAACTGTTCAAGGAAGTTATGCGAGATAAGGCGTCTGCAACTACATTGTTTGCTCCAGAAATATGTCGAATATCTGAAGTAAACTGCGAAATGTAGTCCAGTTGTCGAGACTCACGGGGAGAGTACTTGTCTGGAGGCGAGATTAACGAGGAAGTGAGTGGTTTATGGTCAGTGAAAAGAGTGAATTCACGACCTTCGATGTAGTGTTGGAAATGTCGTACAGCACAATACATAGCTAGGAGTTCCCTACCGAATGTGCTGTACCTTGATTCGGTGTCTAGCAACCGTCTAGAGAAAAATGCTAAGGGTTGCCAGGAGTTGTTAACCCATTGTTGTAAGACTCCTCCGATTGCCCAGTCCGATGCGTCTACTGCGATACTAATGGGTGCTTCGGTGTCCTGATGTGCGAGCATTGTTGCTTTAGCAATCAGTTCCTTAACTGTGGAGAATGCTTTCGTGCGGTGTCGTCCAAACTAATGGATTTCGCATTTCCTCGAAGTTGATCAGCAAGAGGTTTCATAAGTAATGCGCATTTCGGTATGAAACGTCTATAAAAACTTACGAGGCCGTTAAACGTGCGTAATTTCTTAACGGTGGTCGGTTCTGGGTAATCTAGAATGGCCGCCACTTTGGTTCTAAGGGGTCGGATACCTTGAGCATCGATAGTGTGTCCCAGAAAGTCTAATGAGTTGGTTCCAATTTGGCATTTCTGAACGTTTATAGTAATGCCATGTTTTTGTAATCAATCGAAAACAAGATCCAGATGCTTGAGATGTGTTTCTCTGTCCGGACTTGCTATTAGACAGTCGTCAACATACACGTGTACGAAGTTGAGACCTCGAAAAACGTCGTCTATGAATCTTTGGAATGTTTGAGCAGCGTTCCTTAGATCGAAAGGCATTCGCAAAAATTCATAGAGTCTGAAAGGAGTTATGATAGCTGTTTACGGTATGTCGTCAGTAGCCATAGGGATTTGGTTATACTTAATACATCTGTACTAAAGACTATGGGTTCTTTAATATCTATTTCTACTTCCAAACACATTGTTTTGCTAATAAGTAGATTAGTTCCTATTCTACATAAAGGTATTCTGTGGGAGTATGTCATAAGTTATCTGCCCTTGAAGGCTCAGTAAACTAATGCAAGTGTATTTACTGCCTCTACTAAACAGATAGAAACATGTGTCCATTAGTTAGTAATCTGGCCTCTATTTCGGCAGCAAATGGAATGCTTCCCTTAAGACTTTTAATCATTCCTTTATAGGAATTTATGTATTTCTCTGTCGAACGAAGGCACTAATGCGCCGTTATTGTGTTATCCCTGATAGTTTTAATTCGAGTCATCAGTAGATGAGTATGACGTATCACAGAACACATGTACTACAAATGTGTCGTCAGAGGAATAAGTTATTCAAGTAATGTAATATTAATGTGGCTGATTTCTCCTGACAGCTTTGATATACACTGTGAGTTTATGAAATATGACATCACACAAATCTATCACAGCCATCTATGCCCGTTGGCAATACCGCATTGCTGAGAGTATGAAAAGAAGTAATTAGGGATTATTGAAAATTTTATCAGAGCACTGCCAATGCAAAAGTACATTTGAATGTACGCTATCGCGAAGTATGTCCACATAATTCAGCTTCCCTCATAGTTGACTGAGTATCTACATGATTAAAGTAGACATACGCCCCCTTACAACTTATGCTTTCCCTGATAACCATACAGACAGCATGCACTGTTTATTATCTTTTAAACATTTTTTGGCCGAAAAAATAAAAAATAATGTCATACGTATTTTGAAATATGGCCTTTATCAAACCCGACAACTTATCATCAAGACATTTCATATACATTGATTTCTAACTTGTGCCAAACTGCGATTATTCACAAACAGCTTACTGTTACTTGAGTGTCCTGAAGGAACCATTTTGTGTTCCTCCAGAAACGGATTTATATACAAGTCTCAATAATGCCTGCAAAATATTCGATATATTTAAACATGGATGAACAGTGAATAACGATGAAATTTTGGCGTATGTTCTCT